TGGACCCAAAAATCACCGCGCCCGCGCCGCCGTTGCCGCCCGTTCAGGCTGGGTTGGGCTTGGGCTCGGGTACATGGTGTGTGGTTGGGTTGGGCTTGTACGACCCAATACTAATCTTTTTGGGCCCAAAACATTTGAGATTATTTTATTTATTTTGAAATAAAATCTGTCCGTTTTTATTTCAAAATTCTAGTTGGAAATTTAAATTCAAATTTTGTAATGCACCTCTTCAGAATTTCTATCCAAACCGAATCTGTTTAATTTTCAAATTCAAACAGATTCGGTTATCTGTTCAATTCAAAACCCAACAGGTTCAGTACCTGTTCAAACAGGTTTGCATCTGTTTAATTCAAAACCAGCAGCCACCAATCCATCTATAAATAGGCAGCCCTCATTTGATGTTACATTCACAATTTTCGTCCAAAATAATTATGAGATTATTCTCTTCACATTGCTGCATTAGTTTTTTGTGAGAAATAGTATATACACTTAGTGTGTTCGTTGTACAAATAAATTGTAGTGCTGTATTTATTTGTTGTTGATCATTTCATCTTGGGAGATAGACGTCTATATTTTGAAAGCACCGTGGAGAGAACGAATCTGTCTTAAGGATACGGTGTCGAACACTAGACTTGATCAAAATATTATTCAAGAATTAATCAAGTAAGTTATTTATTGATTTTCTATTTTATTATTTTTATTTAAATCATATTTTGATTTTGTTTTTGTAACAAAATAAAAATCTGTTTTCATTTATTTTATTTTATTTTTCTGGTTTGATTTTTGTAATCAAACAAATTCTCTCATTTCTTTTATTTCTTATATATTCTGTTTGTTGTTAAGTACACAACATAATTTATTTTTTCAAATATAGTAAAGATTGTCCAACACTTGCCACCATTTCCTTCACTTTCGATTACCTCTATCACCTTTGCGACCATATCCTACAGTCTTCCCCTTTCTCATGACCCTACCAGTCATCCCTCAAATTCCATTATGTTGTTAACCTCGCACCCTACAACCACCATCCCTACCCCATCGACTGCTACTATTGTAGTTCGACTATCCACTACCTTTGTAGTAGCTAACTTCGCGACCACCGCGATTGCAAAATCCCACCTATAATCTTTTTGTGAACCTAGATTTGTGTATGTAAGAGGTACAGAGATGGTTGCAGTGGCGAATGGGTTGAAAATGAAGGATCATTGTGGCTAAGGGGTTGGGAAGAGATGGTTATTGTGGTAAATAGATCAGAAGGTAGTAGTGGTGGAGGCTGGAAATGAAAGTCGTAGTAAAGGAATTGGGGGTCGTCAGTGGATAAGGGGCTGAGGGTTGAAGGTCAAAGGTGGCAACAATGGTTGTCAAATACGGTGGTTGGAGGTAAGATAAAATGAGAGTTTGGAAGGTTAAGGTGTGAAAGAGGAGGGTATGCTTGGTATTATGACAAGTGTAAAATTAGAAAGTCAATATTTGGAATTTTTTTACATAGTGTAATAAGAAATTAAGTGTAATGGGATATTTTTATAATGTAAACAAAAATGACTCACGAGTTGATTGAAATTTGTTAGAATTCAGTTTAAAACAAATAAGTTTTAATTGCAATTATTTTATGAAGTGGACAGGAATGACGTAGTCCATACAGGAAACTCAACGTATATGCGAATATGCTTGCCAATCAAAAAAACATCTTAGCATAATACTTCATCTTGTTTGGTTTTCAAACTAAAAAAATATTTTTAATTTATAATTTTTCATATTTGATTTTGTTGATTTTGGTGCTTTTCTCCTAGTTTTTATTTTTTTTGCTTTTCCCCTTACTATAAGTTGTTATTAGTATATATAGAAATAAAATTTCATAACTAAAATCTAATGGTGAATAATTCAAATGAAGAGCTCTAAAATAATAAAATTACAAATTTCATTGAGCTTGCTATAACCTATTAGTGAAATTTCACCCCACCTGAAATTCTAAAAAATTTATTTTCTTAACACAATAAAATTTCACTATTTTCAACATAGTGAAAATTTTAATTGATGGTTAAAAATTACAAAATTAAAGTCTAGTTGTAAAAATTGAATTCTTATTTTCAAATTGAGAGCTCCTAAAGCCAATAGGGCTTGGGTGCTAGTTGCATTACGTTCCTTTTCATTCTCTTTGTGCCATTTTGTTCAATTGTGATGCATTCTATTGATTTATTTATTTTTGATTCAATAGGGAAACTGAAAATTACTCCCTTACATCTTGAATGCGACTCGATCATAGGCCTTCGCACCCGTAATAGCATCGTCGAATGTTCTGAAAACCATAGCATGCTATTCAATTTCATTTTATCTATTACGGATTTGTTTATTAGTTATCGTCGTATCTCCACACAATATAAAATGGACTTTACATATTTAAAATTGGATTGTCATTTTCTCATTATAAATTATTTCTATAGATATCTAAAGTTGTAAAAATAAAAAACTTATAATGTTATCTAACCTTACCTTAGATTTATACCATTTTAATGGTGCAAACACAATTAAATGATACTCATAAATATAACCACCCTTAAGAAAGCTACATATTATCTCCCCCTTATTAAGGTTCGAGTAGAGTTAACATCAGCAGTACTTAGACGTTACATTGATTGATAATCAATTTATAAAAATAATATACTGTAACATCAACTTCACAAATAGGAATAGAAGACAAAAATCAACAGGTTGATGGGAAAAAATTATAAAAACCAAATGGGCCTACATTTTTTATTAACACATTTATAATTTTTTAATTTTATGTGTATTCTACTCTAAGTACATGTTTGTTTGCACGATAAAATGGGGAATAAGAGATGGAAGAATATCTAGGCTCCATTTGAAAATTTAATTATGTATTTGATCGTAAGATAAAGAGGGGATGATAAAAAGTAGGCGTGAAAGAATAATCACTGAAACCGAACCTACCGATTGTACCAAACCGAACCACCAGTTTACAGGCTGTTCAGTTTTACGAAAAATAAACTGAGTATTTTGGTTCGATTTAAAAACTACGAAAAAACCGACTGAAAGTGAGGAACATTTGGGCTGTGCACAGTTTTTAGATCAATGCTTGTTTAACGTGGTATAAAAATTTCGAATAACCAGCTGATATGAAGATTAAGGGAAAAAAAAAGGATTAAGTAATACCATATAAATTATTACATTAGGATAATTAATTAGGCATATTCATATTAAATTTATATATATATTTTTACCTCATCAAAATCAAAACACTGGCGCACTGCCTTTATCAAATTGTTCCACCTATTTATCCATAATCTAATTGTATATCCAATATTTCATCTCACCTGATTCCTTAATTTTGGAAATTTTTATGGTACACACCATTTTTAGGTATGTACTATATAGCTCTAGTTACGTATTTTGTTATAACATATTATGATATTAATTATGATTTAATTATATATATCGTGGTATTAATTATAACTCGATATTTGTATGATATTGTTTTAATTTTAATTCAAAAAATATTAATTATACCTCATGATTGTGATTGTGAACGAAACTTGCATATATCATAGCATTAACCCATATAACCCATACCCTATTAATAAACTATTAATTAAAATATCGATGCTATCTACAAAATATGAAGGGTAGAGTAAAAATAAAAAATAGCAGTGTATCAAATTATTATTATGGAAAATGTTTGAGAATTACACGATAAAACCCAATCACAAAAGTTTCTAGATAGTTTCAATTGTATTTCTAATGTTGTAAATATCTTAATAAAGATACTCAAATTTTTTATACCTGACTAAAGAAAAAACCAACTTCGTCAACCAAGGACCATATATTGGTTGTCCAATGCATCAAAGATCAAAATATTTACCTTTATTATGTTTACCTATCCTCACTGTATATTAAATTGTTGGGATAGATGCTAGTAACATTAGATATGGTGGCATTCATTCTCAAACAATGATATCGAGGTAAAGAATAATTAGTTTGATTTACTTCTATTGTTTGAAAATGATCTCAATTACGGTATTCTACAATTCAAAAAGAAATTTTATTCATTGTCTCTTGCATTAAAAAAATTGAATCTAATTTATTAAATTAAGAATTTTTTATAACGAGTTGATTGTAAGACAACAAAAGAAATCGCGAAAAAGATGTTTAAAACATCGTTTCTAGTCAAGCTTTGAGAGATTCTAATTTTTTTTATAAACAATTTAACCTACAATGATGCGGTACTATAGATGTCAATTAATGATTTGTTACATATCCAATAATAAAGGTTGAACTCTTTTATCATATCATTATGTCTCTATTATTATTAGCATGTAATATCATCAATTAATAATAAAATTATAAATGAGATAAATTTATTTAAAAATAATTTCTAAAGCTTCACATATATATAGTGAGATTTCTAAAGCTTTACCTGTTTAGTAATTTAACTTTTTTTCATATAAAAGCAAAAATATTTGTAATTTTTTTTAAAAAATAAGTTAACTAAAAAAATTATTTGATAAGTTAAAAAAAATTACATATTCATTACAAAAATTATAATTTTAATTAATTTATAATGTTTTTTTTACTGATTTATATATAATTTTTTAAAAGATTTACAGATGTGATATACCTAAAATATGAAAAAAAAACTTAAAAAAAAGAAAAGAAATGAAACAAGGTAGTTGAAGTCACGCTTGCATATTCATTAAAAAGATTATAATTTTAATTAAATTATAAAGTTTTTTTTAATGATTTATAATTATTTTTTCAATAATTAACTGACGTGATATTTTCTAAAAAAAAAAAAAAACTAAAATATGGAAAAAAATAAAAATAAAAATAATAATAGAAAAAGGAAGTGAAACAAAGTAATTGAAGTCACGTTTATGTCCGTAGATCACTACATGCCACGTGGAAACCTCGGGGACGTGGATGAGTGGATCCCAATCTGACGTTGTTGTACAAAGTAAGGCGCGGAGAAGAGGCCGTCCGAAAACACGCAGACAACAAAAACATTGAAAGGAAGCAAGAAAGAAAGAAAGAGCTCCTCTCCTCTCTCTACTCTTGTTCTCTTTCTTCCTTCCTTCTCTTTCCACTCCAAAGTCGCATTTTTTTCCACCACTCCTCAAAATCAACTTCAATCTTTTTTCCATTTTCTTTATCAGATCTTGCTCATCGATCCTCAATTCACTTCGATCGATCGATCGATCAATCTGTTTCTTCAATCTCAATTTATATTATTATATGTAAAATTTATTTTTGACTTTCAACTTCTTTGCTTTGAATTTTGTTGTTTTTTCGGAGTTGAGAAATTTTGGGGATAAGGGTATATTGAGGTCGGAGATCCTTCTAGATTATTGCTAATCTAGAAGGATTTGGATCTGCCGGAGTTTGATCGGCCTCCGGTGGGATATTCGTTGGATGAGAAAGTTTTCATATCGGAAAAACAATGAAATGGGGTACATTGTTTAAAGATTTCAAAGAAAAAGTCGGTCTCTCTCAGACTCCTTCCTCTCCTTCTTCATCTTCCTCGTCTTTTAACCGATACAACAATGTCACTTCAACCACACAAGACTCATCTGCATCTTCATCTTCATCGTCTTCAAGGTTTGTTTTATCATACTATCAAATTATTAATGGGTTTTATCTTCTTTTGTAATGCCCTAAATTGAATTTTACTGAATGATTTTTACGATAGTGATTAGTTGTTGTTGGGAGATGTTTGAATCTGCAAGTGTTTGATTAATTTACTCACTGATTAGGACAAAGCTATGAACTGTTTGATGTGGTCCACAAATTTTCAACTTTTTAGTATAGTGGGTTCCATGGGCATTCAGGGAAGCTGTTAGGTATTGATGCTGCTGGGTGTCTAAGTAGATTCTAGCACTAGATCTTTAAAATTCAAACTTAAGAAGCTTCTGCATTGAAGCTGCATTATCATGTGGCTATTCATGCTGCCCAATTTGTGGGGAATTGGTGACAGGGGTTTTGGGTAATAAATGCAGTCAGGCGGGCCGTCTTGTGTTCCCAATTTTCCATGATACTTCTCTCTCACCCAGAATATGAAGAAGGTAAGCATGCATAACTAAGGGCCTGTTTGGTGTACTCTGAGCTGCTTATAGCTTTTTTTGTTCTGGAGTCTGTGCCAGACTATTCGATACAGCTTCTGCCTACTGCTTATTAGACAAAAATAACTTGAATAACTGAAAAAAACTGATTATCTAGAAGTTAGGGGAGGGGTGCTTTTGGTTTATGCTTTCTGGTTATTAGCTTTTAGATTAAAATAAGCTGCACCAAACAGGCCCTAAGTCTAAGTCAATCACAACCATTTGATATCAAGTAATCATACTTTTGTGAGTTTCGTTTCGTTTTTTAGGAGTGTTGCGTTATATAATTTTGTTTTTAATAGTTTCTAGTACCATATGAATCAAATTTGTTCCAACTTGGTCTTCGTTGTCAAAATGGCATTTATTTTTTATGTAAATATATTGATCAGTTTGGCTTTGGATCAGTGTTCCACAAATCCCTTAAAGAAAACAGGTATGGTGGGTCCAAGGTTGTTAAAATCGGGATCCTAAGTAGGATCGGTGAGAGGGTCTAGTGGATCGGATCGTAGGATCGGATCGAGAATCGTAAAATCCTACTTTCTATTGAAAAAAAAAGATAAAAATTAAAATTAAGATGATACATATTAAAAATAAGGTGAAAAATCATAAAATTTACGATCCTACTTGCGATCCTACCTACGATCCTATACGATCTCATACGATCCTACACGATCCCATGCGATCCTACATGATCCTACTTGTGATCCTATTATAACATCGATCCTACAACGATCTGGATCGTTTTGGCAAAGTAGGATCGTAGGATCGTACGATCCTACGATCCGGATCGCGATTTTAACAACCATGGGTGGGTCTTGGGAAATAATTCTCTAGTAGTAGATGATTAAGGATGTATTAGGTGGATGATCATTAACTAATTTGGAGTAATTGGATAAAAAAGTGAATTCTCAGTCATGATTTGCTTCTGTTAACAGTATCATGGAGCCTCTTTTTATGCGTTGATTATATATGACTTGGCACGTTAATAAGTTGGCAAAGTAGTTTAGTTGATTCAAGTGGGGTGATTTTTGATTAAGATAGGGACAGATGCCTTACCCTTGAAAGAATAAGGACAACCAGGACCTGGCTTTGGTAAATCTTGAGTGAGTTGTACAGATTGTATTATATTGATGTTTAGGCTGTATTTGGTTGAAGGATTTGGGGAGGGGTTGGAAAGGGAAAGGGAAAAAATGTGTGAAACTAGATGATATGTACGTATATTTTATTCACATTTCACCGTCCTTTTCCTTTTCCCTTTCCTTTTCCATTTCCAAATCCCTCTCCAAATCCTTGAACCAAACATAGCCTTAGTGGTGCTTGGAAGTGATCATCTATTTTGATTTTATTAAATATGATGACCATGCTGCTAAATTAGAATAGGATGGGTGAATTGGAGCACTGGTCAGGGAGTTTTATGTGACTTTTGAGTACATATCAAAATTAGATGACAAAATTTGTGTTTGCATGCATATGTTTAGGCTATGTGAAACCATCTATTCTTAGGCTACCGCATGTTGTTTGGTTATGAAACATGTTAATAGCATGAGCGTGGCAAATGATGATGGTGATATTGATGAGTGGCAATATGAGAAAAGATAGAGTGAGAAATTAAAATTGAGGTTTTTTGGAGTAGAAAAAATAATTGTATTGATTTTAGGTATAATACTGATTTTGGTTGCAATTAGAGAATCACAATTACATTTTTAAGGAGGTATACTAAGATACCTTCACTCCCTCTCCCCCCGCTTTTCTCCCTCTCCTCTTTCAGTCACAATGTTAAATCTTTCTTTGAGGTGATTTTGTGTTATGTGTTCTGATGTCAATTCCTGGATGGACAGTTTCACTATGTTTGCCCAAATGCTTTGATGCTTGTGGTGATGATGGCCTATTGAGGAATTTTAACATCACTGGCACATCTCTGGATTTACATATCATATACTTCGACAAATCAAAGTTTTTCCTGTTCAGACATGCTATTCTTCACTTGTATACGATCCTTATTCATTTTCTGTTTTCGGACTGCAGAGATAAAATTGAATTGGAATTGGACTTCAAGAGACATTGGGAAGAGTTCCGTTCGTCAAGTTCTGAAAAGGTAAGCTGTGATTATTTTGCTTTGCTTTCTAGTTTGTTTTTTTTTTTTGAGTATACAATTTACTTTATAAAAGTATTATTTTTTAGAAATTTTTTTTTATTAGGTTTTGAAATTCTTACAGTTAATGGTTTTTTTTTTGGGTCCATGCAGGCAAAAGAAACGGCCTTGAATATGACTGTAGATGTTTTTTGTAGATTAGTAAAGCAGCATACTAATGTAGCTCAGTTACTTACCATGTATGAAAACCTCTCTCCTTTTCTAATTTGTTGTGTCAATTTTGAAATATTTATGCAATTTCCTTAAATGTGAAGATATGTTCCTTGCTATGTGTACGGTTTTTTCTTCTGCTTATGTAGATATTTATGCATTTCAATTTTTTAAATTGGTGGATTGTTATTTGTCCCCTTCTTTTCTTGTTATGAATGACTCCTTTGCTGCTGTTAGTACTAAGAAGTGTTTTGTTCTCTCACATACCTGCAATTTGAATTTATGAAGCTGAAAATATGACAGACATATAATCATGGGAGACATGTAATTCATTCACTTATAGAATTATTGAAATACTTGGTATATTAGTTTTCTATATCAAATGCATCATTACATACATAAAACTTATTATCAAAAGAACTTGTATATGTCTTTTTGAGAATGTTTTTGGCCTGTCATGTAATATATATTGTGTCTAAATGCCTCTAAAGTCATCGACATTAAGTATTTGGCTTAACAGTCTCAGAATTAAGTAGACCATAGAATGGAATTGGCTTATGGATAATTTCATTGGCCTTGAAATGCCCTATAATAGTATATTGTATTTTATATATATGCATGGATGTAAAATATTTCTGCTGAGGCAGGATCAAATTACATATTGTGTTAAGCTTCATATTCTTGCATTCCTCAGTAACTTCTCTGTGGAGCCCACATTTGTCAAACTCATGTTGAAGTATTTGGTCCTTGTTTTTCACATCATGTTTGTTAATCAGCAATTAGTGGCCACACAATCCATATGGTCTTTTCTACTTCCTAACATTTCATGGCTATAATTTGGAGTTTTATATGGATGAGATATCTCTCAATCTCCAATCAAATTGGAATTTGGTGAGCATGATGAGAATGAAAGAAACACGCAACTCATTGTGGATTTTATAAAATAATTGGTGTACCACAAAATCCTGTTCTGGAGTGTAAGAGTAAGAAGTTCTACTCCAACTATAATTTTGGTTGTGAATGCTCCTGAAATAGTAAACTTGCAATCATCTGAAGAAAAATGTCAATTGTCTTAAAATTTTGAGTAAACCAATGATATAAGGGCATGGAAACATTTTCTGGGAGTAAGCTGGATGGAAGAAACTTGACTAGTGTTGAAGTTTTATGCTTCAAGGGTCAGTAAGCTGCAAGGCAGATTGTTTGTTTAATTGCCAATATGAGTAATTCCCTTAAAAGGCTTAGCCTTTTGCTGTTTTGGCTCATGTCTTATGAGTCTATTACTATCAACTCTTGGCGATAATTCCCTTAAAAGGCTTAGCTAGTCAAGGATTTTTGAACCTTTTCTTTCCTTGTCTATGCGGATCATGGATAATTATGTGATTCTTGTACCTTTTCTTTCCTTGTCTATGCGGATCATGGATAATTATGTGATTCTTGTAACTGGTTTCTCATTCAGGACTGCGTCTCCTTTTTTTCTTTTCTTTTTCCTGTTGGCTGTGTGGTGGTCTCCAATATTTCTTTAGAGCTATAGGCATCTTGTGCTTCAACATGTGTAAAACCTCTCAGCATTACCACTTGACCTCTTGAATTGTGCTACTGCTTATTGCTTTTTTTTTTTGAGGTTCTGCTCACATTGAAACAGACATCATTCAAGAATTATGATGCCCCATCTTAAATTCTTAAAGCCCATATTGAAGCTATCAACTATCTTTGTCTTTAAAATTTGTTTATTACTTATATGGATTGCAGGTAATTGACACATTTATCATTTGGATGAGACTTCCATGTATTACACATCTTTCACGGATTGGAGCTTCACTTTTGTTGGTGTCTATTAAATTAACACTGACAATTTGGAAAAAAATGTTTTAAGAAATTGATCAAGTTTAGTGTTGCTTCCCCTAAATTATGCAAGATGTTGAGTAACTTCTGAAATGTTGTTGATTTTCAGGTTAGTTGAAACACATATATTCTCTTTTGTTGTGGGGAGGGCATTTGTAACAGATATTGAGAAGTTAAAAATCAGTAGTAAATCAAGATCTTTGGATGTTGGGAGAGTGTTAAGCTTTTTCTCAGAAGTCACAAAGGTTTGTCTTTTGGTTGCTTTTATCTCAATACTATTATATAGTTCTTCATTTTATTTATTTATCTTTTTTTACAATTTCTTCCATGTGGTAATGTGATGTATATGATAGGATTTATTTGTACTTGTCTGCAGGATGGCATCAAACCTGGTTCAAATTTGTTAAATGCAGTGGAAGTCCTTGTATCTGGGGTATATTCGTAAGCTTCATTAGTTTGAAAATACTTATATGGTCTGCGAGTTTTTGTCTTCTGTTTTGTTTAGTTTTTTTTTTTTTTTCTTCCTTCTTTTTGTTATATTAAATGTCTTAATTTAGTTAAATTCTTATTGATATTTACGTTCTTCCTATTCTATACTTTTGATTGAGTAGTTTTAAGTTGTTAGGTGAACTACATTATACAAGGTAATCAATTAAGTAACTATTTTCTATGTTGGAATCCAGATTGCTACTTCATACGCTGTATGAACTGATTTAGTAATGTTTTTCTATGAGTTTCATAGTTAGACAGTTACATATCTGGACCTTATTATCTTTCAGTTTTACTAACCTATAAATGATTTTTATTGGTTGCAGCCTATTGATAAACAATCTCTCCTTGACTCTGGGATTTTATGTTGTCTCATCCATATTCTCAATGCTCTTTTGGGTCCTGATGATGGGAATCACCAGCAAAAGGTTTCTACTGAGGAGAGTCTGTTACTGTCTGAGGAAAATTATGATGACGATGTTGGTCAAGTCTACCGGCTTGAGGTAGTTCTATTTCCGTGGCTGCCTGCCCTTCTATTGACTGTCATGAACTTCCAGAATTTTATGTTCTACGATTTAACTTTTTGGTCAATCTAGTACATGTGAGAGCAGAAAATTTTCTTTTGCTTTCTTTGTTGTTCTGTTTCTATATTTGAATGCTGATTTATAGCATTTGTTGGGCTGAGGTCTTATTTATGCACCTTGTTGGTGGAAACATTATCTTTCCTGTGGGTTGTCTTGTCACTTTGGTTATATCTGGGAGAGTTTCTGTGCTTTATTAGGCCAAGTATAAAGCAAATTTGCTTGGTTAGACTTTCTTGGGTTTGGTTGAGTGTTGAGGTATGACCCATTGTCTTGTTACAGTGTTGGTCTAGGTATGAGGTGCCGGGTATGGTGATCTTAACTGCTTTCCTCTTTACCCTTTCTTGTGGCCAAATCATCTATGGGTTATTCACTAGAAACCTACATTGGCCTATTTGAGTAAACTGCTTTCCTCTTTACTCTTACCTGCAAACAGTTCCTGTGGCATTGTGATTGAGCATGCTGACAAGGATTTTGGGAGCTAGTTACTTTATATAGTTGCTTGATTCAGCAGTTAAAGACAACTAAGATTTTGCCCATAGTAAAGATAAAACTAAGGATCCTGTACACTAAGGTTCTTCACTTCTGCAGGTAGAAGGAAGTGTAGTGCATATTATGAAGGCATTGGCAAACCACCCTTCAGCCGCACAGAGTTTGATTGAGGATAATTCACTTCAGCTACTCTTTCAGATGGTTGCAAATGGGTCTTTGCTTGTTTTCTGTCAATATAAGGAAGGTCTCGTACCATTACACACCATCCAGCTTCACAGACATGCAATGCAGGTAAGCGCTTAATCATCTGTTCAACTGTATGTGCAGTGACAGAGCTGGGGGAAAATCTTAAATTAGTTAGATGCATGTGCTGAATTTCAAATTAGCTTCATGGACTGATTGCCAAATTTTGCTTTTGTTCCAGATTCTTGGTCTTCTTTTGGTTAATGACAATGGAAGCACAGCCAAGTATATACACAAGCATCACCTGGTATGCCATCACATTTGCATGTTACACATTTATTCTGCTTGAAATAAATTAGTCATTTTAATTTAGCATAAAGGTCTAAACATGAAAACAACATAAGCAGTCTTAATGGTTTTCCTGCATTTGCGGGATAGCCTTGTTTCATGTGTTTACTTAATGGCAAGAATCAAATTCTGCAGCTTGCGCACTTAAAAAAGATTTCTTTAGGAGTTGTATTGAGCATAGCTTTAAGTTCTTGGAATTATGCCCCTCCTTTTGATCTGTATTGCTGGTGGTGGTAACATGTTATCTGCTGTAACTTGTAAGATATATAGCTCATTGTAAATCATGTGGAATTGTACCAGTTATCTACTTGGGACTCGGCCTATTTATTAAACATATAGACCTTTACTTACGGATTCCCTATCTCCTGCTACCTGAATAATCTACACCAAAAAATTAATTGGGACTCGGCCTATTTACATAAACATATAGGCCTTTACGTACGGTTTCAATAATCCACACCAAAAAATTAATTCTATGAAACTATGGAAGAAATGAAAATTAGTTATGTCATTACATTTGTTTTTTAAAGTAGATTCTTCTGTGGGGTAGCATTTTCTTATCCTTCGTATGATTGTTTCCAGCTGTATTTCTTTTCTTTTTCAATTTTTTGCTTGCTAGACAGACTTGCCATGTTTTGGCACATTTATCGTTGAAGTATAATGCAATTGCTTAAAAATTAATATGGATTTCTTGGAATTGGATTTCAACATTTTCCTTTTGTCAGAGTGCAGCATATTAGAATTTTTTTCCTCATGATTTATTGGGTATACATGATGGTTTATTAGTACTTAAAAGTCTTCCTATGTAAACTTCAAAAAATGGCTCTTTTTTATTTTTAATTTTTACTGATTTATAAGTGCACCCATTTGTAGTTGTGGCTTTTCCATGTCTTGTTTCAGAACTTGGATGTATATATCTCTCATTTTTGTTCTCCACTTGTTTCCATTTCTTCTAATTAGTTTTTGTTGTGTTTAATGAAATTCCATGTATGTTGTAGAAAAAATTTCTGATCTGGTATTATATTATTTCTAAGTGCAGATAAAAGTACTTCTAATGGCTGTCAAGGATTTTAATCCTGATTGTGGCGACCCTGCCTATACCATGGGCATTGTGGACTTGTTACTTGAATGTGTGGAATTATCGTACAGACCTGGTAAATAGCATATTAGATTTGTTCAGAGGTTCTCTTTGTCCTTAACTCTTTGATTGACCATGATATTCGTGGTTGTGGGCATTGAAATGAAGTACTCTACATATAATGGTTCTGGTATTTCAACTTTCAAGTTCCTGCAGCTTAGACAACGATACTATTTTTATTCTTTAATTCTTTATTTATTTCTATATTTTTAATATATATTTTTTAATTTAGTGCTGATTTTTGACGCTTTGACTTGTAGAGGCTGGTGGTGTCAGGCTCAGGGAGGATATCCATAATGCTCATGGTTATCAATTCCTTGTACAGTTTGCGTTAATTCTTTCAAAAAATCTGGGCATTGAGGCTGTAGATACAGAGTCTTTCGCTGATCAAAATTCTGCTTCGGAAGGTTCACATACAACTAGTGTAGGAAGACGGGATTCAAGAGAAAATGGAGATGACACCTCTGCACAGAATCTCTCGCCGGTGCTTTCTAGGTTGCTTGATGTTCTTGTTAATTTAGCTCAATTAGGTCCCGGTGAAACTACAGGATCTGCTGGGTTCAAAGTTACAAAAAATTCACATAATAAGCCTAGTGGCCACAGCAGAAGTCGTACAACTTCTTCGGACCGGCTTGCTGATGAAACTTGGGAAAAAGGTAATTACAAAGTTAAGGACCTAGAAGCTGTCCAGATGTTGCAGGACATTTTTCTGAAAGCTGAAAGCAGAGAACTGCAGGCAGAAGTTCTAAACAGAATGTTTAAGATATTCTCAAGTCATCTTGAAAACTACAAGTTGTGTCAGCAGTTACGGACTGTGCCACTGTTGATCCTAAATATGGGTGACTTCCCACCATCTTTGCAGGAGATAATATTGAAAATTCTTGAGTATGCTGTAACTGTTGTGAATTGCATACCTGACCAAGAATTGCTTTCACTTTGTTGCTTATTGCAGCAACTGATAACATCGGAACTGAAACTCAGTATTCTTTCTTTCTTTGTAAAACTCCTGTCCTTTGATCATCAATACAAGAGAGTCCTACGAGAAGTTGGTGTGCTTGAGGTTCTGTTAGATGATCTGAAACAACACAAGTTTCTTTTGGGCTCAGACCAACCCAATAGGGACTCTAATCAATTGGATAGAAAATCCAGCTCAACTAGTTTTAAAAAACACTTGGACGGTAAGGATGCAATTCTTTCTTCACCCAAGCTACTGGAATCTGGTTCTGGGAAGTTTCCTCTTTTTGAAGTTGAGGGTACAATTGAGGTTGCATGGGATTGTATGGTTTCCATACTAAAGAAAGCAGATGCTAACCAAGCAGCATTCCGTTCAGCCAATGGTGTGACCACTGTGCTCCCTTTTTTGGCTTCTAATATTCACCGTCTAGGGGTCCTCCGGGTGTTGTCATGTTTAATCATTGAAGATGTTGCACAGGTTTGTTGGCTTTCTTTATTCCCTATCTTGCTGCTTGATGGGATTTAATTTGATAAATCTTTTGTTCAGTTCTTTATTCCCCATTGTTTTCTTTCTAAAATTATTGGGCCTGATTTTAATATTTGAATATACAATATCATAAGTCATTGCAAATGTGTGTACTCATGCACAATGCACACACTGGCCCCCATTATCTGTCCTTAAAAAGGGCTAAAAAGCTCATTGATTTATTTGTTTACCAGGCTCATCCAGAAGAATTGGGTGCACTAGTTGAAGTTCTAAAAAGTGGGATGGTTACAAATGTTTTGGGATCTCAGTACAGCCTCTTAAGTGATGCAAAATGTGACACGTTTGGAGCAATATGGCGCATCCTGGGAGTTAATAATTCAGCTCAGAGGGTCTTTGGTGAATCCACTGGGTTTTCTCTTCTACTAACCACACTCCATAGCTTTCAGAGTGATGGAGAGCATGGGAACCAATCTTTCTTAATGGTTTACATTAAGGAATTTACATATCTATTGCGTGTGGTGACTGCTGGGGTGTGTGATAATGCTGTCAATCGGACAAAGTTGCACACAATAATATCATCCCATACTTTTTATGATCTTCTCTTTGATTCTGGCTTGATTTGTGTTGAGTATGAAAGGCAAGTCATACAGTTGTTGTTAGAACTCGCTTTAGAACTGGTGCTTCCACCATCATTGACATCAGAAACTGTGGCATCATCTGATTTGATCGGAACTGGGTCTGCTGGTTTTCTTCTAATTACTCCGGCAGGTTCCTTCACTCCTGATAAGGAAAGGGTGTATAATCCCAGTGCCGTAAGAGTACTCCTACGCTCATTGTTGCTGTTTACTCCAAAGGTGCAGTTAGATGTGCTGAACCTTGTTGAGAAGCTTGCTCATGCTGGCTCCTTCAATAAGGAGCATCTCACTTCTGTAGGTGCGAAATAGATCATTTTTGCTTATGTTAATTTCCTTCAAAATTGCAATTGGTTTCCTTATTGTTTTTCATTTGCACGTGGGTAGGTTGTGTGGAACTTCTTCTGGAGACAATATACCCATTCCTTTCAGGCTCATCGCCATTAGTTGTCCATGCTTTGAAGATTGTGGAAGTCCTTGGGGCATATAGGTAAGGGACTGTGGTCAAGTCTAGAATTTACATATCTGTTTATTTATTCACATAAAGTTTGCTTGACCTCTGTTAAGTTTGTTCACACTCTTGGTGACAGGTTGTCAGCATCGGAACTTCGAATCCTGGTTCGATATATTTTGCAAATGAGATTGAAGAATTCAGGTCGTATTCTTGTGGATATGATGGAGAAGTTAATTCTTATGGAAGATATGGCTTTGGAAAATGTCTCCCCGGCACCATTTGTAGAGATGGACATGAGTAAGATAGGGCATGCTTCTATTCAGGTGTCATTGGGGGAAAGGTCTTGGCCTCCTGCTGCTGGTTATTCTTTTGTTTGTTGGTTTCAATTCCAGAATTTCCTGAGATCACAACCAAAGGAATCAGAAGCTTCCAAGGCAGGACCTTCTAAAAGGCGGAGCACTTCTAATGGGCTGCACAATGGGGCACGAGTTCTCCGGATCTTTTCTGTTGGTGCAGCAGACAATGTTAACACCTCATATGCAGAACTTTGCCTTCAAGAAGATGGTGTTCTGACCCTTGCAACAAGTAACTCTAGCTCCTTGTCATTTTCAGGGTTAGAACTAGATGAAGGCAGGTGGCATCATCTTGCAGTTGTTCATAGCAAACCAAATGCTTTGGCTGGACTATTCCAAGCTAGTTTTGCACATGTGTATCTTAATGGAAAGCTAAAGCACACAGGAAAACTAGGATATTCTCCTTCTCCAGTTGGGAAACCTCTTCAGGTAACCATTGGGACACCGGTTACTTGTGCAAGGGTTAGTGACTTGTCGTGGAAACTCCGGTGTTGCTATCTTTTTGAAGAGGTGCTCACATCAGGTTCTGTTTGTTTCATGTACATTCTTGGTAGAGGATATAGGGGGCTCTTCCAAGACACAGATCTTTTGCGAATTGTTCCTGATCAGGCTTGCGGTGGGGGTAGTATGGCCATCTTAGATTCGTTAGAGACGGACTTGCCTTTAGCTTCCAATGTGCAAAGACCTGAAAGTGCTAGCAAGCAAGGTAGCTCTAAGGCAGATCGTAGTGGAATTGTGTGGGATTTGGAAAGACTAGGGAACCTCTCCCTACAGCTTTCTGGAAAGAAGCTTATATTTGCATTTGATGGATCATGTACAGAAGCTTCCCGAGCATCTGGAACATTTTCTATGCTCAATCTAGTTGATCCTATGTCAGCTGCTGCTTCTCCTATAGGGGGTGTGTAATTAAATCTTTCTTTCTCTTTTTTTTTTTTTTGTTTTTTTCCCTGATTAGTGAGCTTTTAACTTAATCAAATCTGAGAGGTCATAAGTTCTAGAATTTTATCCCTCTTTTTATTTTAAGCTTGATTTGTGAGAACCTCTATAGTTACATAAAACAGGGAATCTGATTTTGATTTGAATTTAACAAATTTTCCTTTTTTTGGTCCCCCCTAGGTATACCACGTTTTGGACGTCTTCATGGGGATTCCTACATCTGTAGGCAATGTGTGATTGGCGATAGCATCCGCCCTGTTGGTGGGATGGCTGTTGTCCTTGCTCTTGTTGAAGCTGCTGAAACCAGAGATATGCTTCACATGGCCCTCATATTACTTGCATGTGCACTTAATCAAAATCCACAGAATGTGCGAGATATGCAAACATATAGAGGATACCATTTGCTAGCTGTATTTCTGCATCGCCGAATGTCATTGTTTGACATGCAGTCACTTGAGACCTTTTTCCAGATTGCTGCGTGTGAAGCTTCTTTCTCCGAACCAAAGAAGCTGGAAAATACTCGTCGTAGTCTGCTACCTGCTGCAACTATTCATGAAACCAGCCTTGAGAATCTTGGTTTGTTAAAATTGCGTGATGAATCTTCTTCAGTTGGATCTCATGGATATATGGATGATTTTTCTGCCCATAAAGATTCATTTAGTCATGTTTCAGAGCTTGAAAATGCTGACATGTCCGCTGAAACATCAAATTGCATTGTATTGTCAAACGCAGATATGGTTGAGCATGTCTTGTTGGACTGGACCTTGTGGGTAACAGCCCCAGTTTCTATTCAAATTGCACTACTAGGCTTTCTTGAGCATCTAGTCTCTATGCATTGGTATAGGAATCATAACCTCACCATTTTGCGCCGAATTAACCTGGTTCAACATTTACTTGTAACTCTGCAGAGAGGTGATGTCGAAGTTCCTGTCTTGGAAAAATTGGTCATGTTATTAGGAGTCATTTTGGAAGATGGCTTTTTGGATTCTGAACTGGAACATGTGGTTAGGTTCGTAATTATGACATTTGATCCACCTGAACTGACATCACGGAATCCAATTATGCGGGAGTCGATGGGAAAGCATGTTATTGTAAGAAATATGTTGCTTGAGATGCTAGTTGATTTACAAGTGACAATAAAATTAGAAGAGTTGCTTGAGCAGTGGCATAAGATTGTTTCATCCAAATTGATAACTTATTTCCTCGACGAAGCTGTTCATCCTACAAGTATGAGATGGATCATGACTCTGCTTGGCGTGAGTCTTGTCTCTTCCCCTACATTTGCACTCAAGTTTCGCACTAGTGGAGGTTATCAAGGTTTGGCACGGGTGCTTCCTAGTTTCTATGATTCCCCCGACATATACTATATACTCTTTTGTATGATATTTGAGAAGCCTGTTTACCCAAGACTACCTGAGGTTCGAATGCTGGACTTCCATGCCCTAATGCCAAGCGATGGAAATCATGAAGAGTTGAAATTTGTGGAAATGTTGGATTCTGTGATTGCAATGGCAAAGTCTACATTTGATTGGTTGTGCAGACAGTCGATGCTTGCTCACCAAACTGGCAATCTTTCCCAGGTCACTGCTGGCCTAGTGGCAGAGCTTGCGGAAGGAAATACAGATATGGCCGGAGAGCTTCAGGGTGAAGCTCTGATGCATAAAACCTATGCAGCTCGCTTAATGGGTGGAGAGGCGTCAGCTCCTGCTGCTGCAACTTCAGTCCTGAGATTCATGGTTGATCTGGCAAAAATGTGCCCCCCTTTCTCTGCTGTTTGCAGACGGGCAGAATTTCTTGAAAGCTGTATTGGCCTTTATTTTTCATGTGTTAGGTTTGTTTTTTTATTTTTTATTTTTTTATTCATATGCTTATTGCATTTTTCTGTTAATTATTTTGATGGTGACGGGTATTGGGTTGTTTATGTAAGTTTTAATCTTAATATCCTGAAGCTTACTAGACTTGGTTGATTGCGGTGATACAGGGCTGCTCATGCAGTGAAGATCGCGAAAGAACTTTCTGTGAAGACAGAAGAGAAGAGTTTAAATGATTATGATGATACCGGTAGCTCTCAGAATTCATTCTCTAGCTTGCCTCATGAACAGGATCAGTCTGTTGAAACCTCCATAAGCGTTGGAAGCTTCCCTCGAGCGCAGGTCAGCACAAGTTCTGAGGATTTTCCTGTGCGTTCAAATAATATGGCTAGTGATAAAACAGAGACAAGTAATAATACGTCCCAGAATCAAACAAGCCAGAGCAAGATGTACAAGCTGTTCTGAGCATAGATGGTGAAGCTAATGATCAGGTGTCCACCGCTGCTTCCAGCACTAGTGAGTTCAGTTTCCATGATATTCAAGGCACGCAGGATACAATTCACCAGGAAGATTCTCAAAGTTCTGCGTCTTTAACTATATTTGATTCTCCCATGTTAACGGAGAAATCTAATTCCTGGATCCATCTCACGCCCTCCTCATCCCCAGTCGTTGCATTGACATCTTGGTTGGGTGGTTCAAGTCGTAGTGAATCAAGAGCTCAATCTGTTGCCACCCCTTCTGTTGAATCTTTTGTGTCTATGAGTGAACAAGATCCATCTTCAGACTTGAAGTCCAGTTCTCAAGGACCATTTGCTGCCAACACATTTTCTGCTGTTAATCCGAAGCTTCTTCTTGAAATGGATGATTCTGGCTATGGCGGTGGTCCTTGTTCTGCTGGAGCTACTGCTGTTTTAGATTTTATGGCAGAAGTTTTTTCAGACTTTATAACTGAACAGCCGAAAGCTGCACAAGTTATAGAGAGTATTTTGGAAAGTGTTCCTTTATATGTTGATGCTGAATCTGTATTAGTTTTTCAGGGTCTTTGCCTTAGTAGACTGATGAACTTCCTTGAAAGGCGTCTCTTACGTGATGATGAGGAAAATGAGAAAAAGCTAGATCAGAGCCGCTGGTCCTTGAACTTGGATGCATTATGTTGGATGATTGTGGATCGCGTTTATATGGGTGCTTTTCCTCAGTCTGCTGGTGTTCTAAGAACTCTGGAATTCTTATTGTCTATGTTACAGTTGGCAAACAAAGATGGTCGGATTGAAGAAACAGCTGCTGCTACTGGAAAAGGACTCCTATCTATCGGATTTGGAAGCAGGCAGCTTGATGCTTATATACATGCAATTCTGAAAAATACAAATCGTATGATATTGTACTGCTTCCTTCCATCATTCTTGATCACCATAGGAGAGGACAATCTTCTTTCATGCATGGGTTTGCAAATTGAACCAAAGAGGAGATTGTCCCCATACTCTTCACAAGAAGATACAGGGGTTGATATATGTACTGTTTTACAGTTATTGGTTGCCCACAGGCGAATAATATTCTGTCCCAGCAATATTGATACTGATCTCAATTGCTGTCTTTGTATAAATTTAATATCTCTTCTCCGCGACCAAAGACGAAATGCGCAGAACATGGCAGTTGATGTTCTCAAGTATCTTCTGGTGCATCGCAGGGCTGCCCTGGAAGACCTACTTGTGTCCAAACCAAACCAAGGACCGCATCTGGATGCTCTGCATGGTTTTGACAGACTTTTAAGTGGAAGTTTATCTGATTTCTTTGAGTGGTTTCAGAGTTCCGATCATGTTGTTAATAAAGTCTTGGAACAGTGTGCTGCTATTATGTGGGTGCAGTATATTGCTGGGTCGGCAAAGTTTCCTGGAGTGCGAATAAAAGGCATGGATAGTCGTCGTAAGAGAGAAATAGGGAGAAGATCACGGGACATCTCAAAGTTAGACCAAAGACACTGGGAGCAGGTAAATGAACGGAGATATGCACTTGAAGTGGTTCGTGATGAGATGTCTACTGAATTGAGAGTGGTTCGTCAAGATAAGTACGGATGGGTACTTCATGCTGAAAGCAAGTGGCAAACACATCTCCAACAACTTGTACATGAAAGAGGAGTCTTCCCAATGTCTAAATCCTCTGTGAATGAAGATATAGAATGGCAACTTTGTCCCATTGAAGGTCCATATAGAATGCGGAAAAAACTTGAAAGGTGCAAATTGAAGATTGATACGATTCAGAATGTTTTGAATGGGCAGTTTGAATTGGGGGTAGAAGAGCTTTCAAAAGAAAAAAATGAGAATGATTTTGATGCTTCTGATGCTGAATCTGATTTGTTTTTTAATCTTTTGACTGATGATATAAAACAAGATTCTTTTGATGATGAGCTCTATGATGGATCAATTTTCAAAGAATCAGGTGATGTTAGAGATGTAGCTTCTAGTAGGGCTGGGTGGAATGATGACCGTGCGAGCAGTATAAATGAAGCAAGTCTTTATTCTGCTCCTGAATTTGATGCCAAGTCCGCAGCAGAATCTGTCCCAAAAGCAGAGAGCACACAAGGAAGGTCTGATTTAGGATCTCCAAGGCAATCTTCTTCAATGAAAATAGATGCAGTGAAAGTGATGGATGATAAATTAGATAAGGAACTAAATGATAATGGTGAATACTTAATTAGACCTTATCTGGAGCCCCTTGAAAAGATAAAATTCAGATACAACTGTGAAAGAGTCATAGGTCTTGACAAACATGATGGTTTATTTCTGATTGGTGAACTATCCTTGTATGTAATTGAGAATTTTTACATTGATGATTCTGGGTGCATATGTGAAAAGGAATGTGAAGATGACCTCTCTGTTATCGATCAGGCCTTGGGTGTAAAGAAAGATATTTCATGCAGTATGGATTCCCATTCCAAGTCAAATTCATCCTGGGGTACAACGGTGAAGGCATATGTTGGGGGAAGGGCTTGGGCCTATAATGGTGGTGCATGGGGAAAGGAAAAGATTTGTAGTAGTGGTAATGTACCTCATCCTTGGCGCGCATGGAAGCTTAATAGTGTTCATGAAATTTTGAAGCGCGATTACCAGCTTCGTCCTGTTGCTATTGAGTTATTTAGCATGGATGGATGTAATGACCTCCTGGTCTTCCACAAAAAAGAGAGGGAAGAAGTTTTCAAAAATTTGGTGGCCATGAATTTGCCAAGAAACAGCATGTATGTCATCATAACCTTCACTTTGGCTTCTTTTCATTTGTGTTATTCTGACTGTACCTTTTTTTCTTATTTGCCATGGATGGTAATATGGTAACAATGTTGGCCATAGTAGTTTTTGAATGTTGGCTTCTTTGTTATGAATATGCATACAAGTCCAATAAGGGCATATACCGGCTGCTCACAGCTGGGTATTTCTTTATTTTTGTTTGTTTTCTTTCGGTTTTTTTGTTGTTTGAATTTTGTGCTTGATTGATATCATATAAATGTCTGCCATTCCAATCTGTGCATCTGATGCTAAATATTGGATCTTATGGTACTGTACTGATATGATATTGTATTTCAACTACATAATATTTAATGCCATATATTCCTTTGCATGTGTTAATAAATTATATATCATACTCTTCCCTTGAAGATAATTTGGTAGATCCAATGTTACCTGTAAGTTTTCGGGTGCAACTACTAATTGAAAGGGGAAATGCAATTCTAAATGATACAGGTGGCTTTTGGCTCGTGTACTAGTGGTAGGTGTGTAGTAGGTGAATTTTAACAATGTATTATCAGTAGCGTGGATGGATGTTTTTGCCTTGTGACTGCAGATCTGTAATTAACTGTTACTTGCAAAACCCTTATAGAGAGGTGTGGAGATTGTGCTGAACACCGGCATGGCTTCTAGAAGACATTCAAGACACCTGTGTTTTGTTGACTATGTTAAAAAGAATTTGTAATTCTTTTATGTATGACCAGTGTTTGGTAGTCGCCACATGATCACTTTTTGTTGAACTTAATAGATTGAGTGAATCCTAACAGAACTAAGAGCGGTGGTTTTTTCCCCTAATGCATCTCAATATGTCGATTTCACTTGCTGGAAATAGCTTATTAAGGAATAATATTTTGATTGAAACTTGATGTCATAGTTGTGGAAAGGCATGATCCATCTGATTCTCTTGTCCCAAATGCACTCTCACCCACCCTCTTTCTGTTATGGTAAGATTATGAGAAAAATATGGTAATGTAACTGAAGTAATGTATACGTGAACAAGAATAACATTGGTCATAATAAATGTAACTATTTAGAGATATCTTAAATAACACTACCATAGAAGTGGATCTGTTGTGCTGGTTCCAGAATTATGCAGTAATTTTATGTGCAGGTGCTTGTGTATGCTTACATGCACGTGTGTGGTTGTTTTCTTTCTAAGCTTCCGTTTTGGCAATATCTACTATACCTGGTCATATCTTTATATGTGCTTTTGGCATGGGTTCTTCAGCTCAACTGCTTATTAAGCTGTTGCTTTTTAGATTTAGAACCAAATATTTTGAACTTCATAACAATCATTTTTCCAACAGGTTGGACACTACAATTTCGGGGTCAACAAAGCAAGATAGCAATGAGGGTAGCCGTCTTTTTAAGATTGTAGCTAAATCCTTTTCCAAGAGGTGGCAAAATGGAGAAATTACCAATTTCCAGTACCTCATGCACCTCAATACTCTTGCGGGACGTGGATACAGTGATCTAACCCAGTATCCAGTGTTTCCTTGGGTTCTTGCAGATTATGAGAGTGAAAATCTGGACTTGTCAGATCCCAAAACATTCCGTACACTTGAGAAGCCAATGGGTTGTCAAACATTAGATGGGGAAGAAGAATTCAAGAAAAGGTTTGCCCTCATTCAGCTTTGTGACTTCTTGCTTGTTTTTCCTGTCCAGTAGTTTGCTTTGCATGCTCTTAATATATTTTTCGGTTGGGTGGTTTATTTAACTTAATTACTTTCGCCCTTTTTCAATTCGTTTCTTATCTCAGGTATGAGACATGGGATGATCCAGAGGTTCCTAAATTTCACTATGGTTCTCATTACTCTAGTGCTGGGATTGTTCTCTTCTATCTTCTACGCCTGCCACCATTCAGTATGGAGAATCAGAAGCTGCAAGGAGGACAGTTTGACCATGCTGATCGTCTTTTCAATAGTGTACGAGATACATGGTTAAGTGCTGCTGGCAAGGGCAATACTTCAGATGTAAAGGAATTGATTCCAGAATTCTTCTATATGCCAGAGTTCCTGGAAAATCGTTTCAATCTTGACTTGGGAGAGAAACAGTCAGGAGAAAAGGTTTGTTTACGTTACTTAAAAGTTTAACTGCTTTATGATTATTTTCTTTTTGGGTGAATCACACTAGCCTTCCTTGAGGTTTGGAGAAAATACATTGAGCCTCCACAATTTTAGCATAATTATGTTGGGTTCCCTTGAGGTTTTAATTCATGCAATACTTAGCCTGATTTTCATCAGTAATTTGTTAGTCGTATGGATGAATAAATGATATTGTCATCTCTTTTACAGTAAAATGTATAATTTACTTTGATTATCGCTTTGACTACACATCATTTGCATTAGTTTAGGCTGTTTCAACTTTACTAAAAGGGAGGTCACTGTAATTATACCAAATCTGTGGGGCTGATCATATTTTTCTAAACCTCAGGGGTGGTCAATGTGATTTACTATTTCTTTTTTCGCCCCCTCTGATTTGTCTCTAATCTTATAATGGTCTGTTGTTTGGAAAAAGAACAAAAAAAAATTGTTCCCACCAACAAATTTTTTTTTTCTGCTCTTTTCTTTTCCCTATTTACCAATTTTCTTTCTTTTCAAACTACAAACTTAATTCATGTGGGTGGTTTTTCCAGGTTGGTGATGTCGTGTTACCTCCTTGGGCCAAAGGCAGTTGTAGAGAGTTTATCAGGAAGCACAGGGAAGCATTGGAATCTGATTATGTTTCAGAAAATCTTCATCACTGGATAGACCTGATCTTTGGATATAAACAGAGAGGGAAGGTGAGTGTCACTTACAATCTGACAAGCAATCTAATCTTCACTTGATCTGGTTTTTAATTCTGGAATTGTATTCTAATTTACTGAGCCTTTTCAACTGGTTCAAGGTAGTGTTTGATTCACTAGAACAGGGTGGAATGGAATGATCATTATATCAAAATGTCCATTCCCATCTTTGGTTGACTAAGCACTAGTAAAAAATATATTACAAATGAAATTATCACTCACCCTTGTAAGGGAATGATCATTCCGTAAGGGAGCCAAAGGAATGACCATTCTATGGAATGATCATTTCCTTCTGTTCCATCCCATTCCAATGAACCAAATAGAGCATAAGTGCATTCAGAATCTGCAATCCATTCATCCATCAAATTGTATTGATTGTTGATATTTTCTGTGTTCTTAACTAGCCTCTGCAAATATGATCTCTTTTCTTCCTTTATATTCCTCTTGATGATGTTTTCCTCTATTTTCTGTTGGATTGGGTGAAGTTGCAGTGAAAGAAATGAAATCTAAATCACTTAGACTGCCCTTCTAATTTGCATATGTTATAGGACACACAGTTTTAGTCTGTTTTTGTTTCCCATAATGGCGACAGAGAAAATATTAATTTTCAAAAGCAATCATGTAAGCTTCATGATTGTAGATTTTACTCTCATCTCATCTCATCTAAGCTGCCATTGTCACATATTCAAATCCCAAACCTTGATGTGCCACCTTATATAATTTAATGTATACTCTTAAATTAGATGCTCTACCTTAAAACACACACACTCTCTCTCTCTCTCTGTATATATATATATATGTATATATATGTTTTGATGTTTATTCATGTGTTATGTTGGGTCGTTGAATAAAGTAAATGTTTTGCCCAGTCAGTCATTGGTTATCCCATGGTTGGTGTGGGATATTGTGCCTTTATATTCATTTCTTGGTTCTTTTTATGGTGCGTCTTTATTTCTAAAACCTACTTTGTCATTGACAGGCTGCCGAAGAAGCTGTGAACGTTTTCTTTCATTATACATATGAAGGGAGTGTTGACATAGACTCTGTTACAGATCCTGCAATGAAAGCCTCCATTCTAGCACAAATCAATCACTTTGGGCAAACACCGAAGCAACTATTCCTCAAACCACATGTCAAAAGGCGGGTTGATAGAAAGCTTCCTCCCCATCCACTCAAACACTCTACTCATCTGGTTCCTCATGAGATTCGTAAGAGCTCATCTTCCATAGCTCAGATCGTTACTGTCAATGAGAAAATTCTTGTGGCAGGAACAAATAGCTTGCTTAAACCCAAAACACATACCAAATATGTTTCATGGGGTTTCCCAGATAGGAGCTTGAGATTTATGAGCTACGATCAAGACAAACTGCTCTCTACTCATGAGAATCTTCATGGAGGCAACCAGATCCAATGTGTTGGTGTCAGCCACAATGGTCAGATTCTGGTTACCGGGGCTGACGAGGGTTTGGTTTGTGTCTGGAGAATTAGTGAAAATGGACCACGTGCTCTTCGCCATCTGGAGTTGGAGAAGGCACTTTGTGGCCACACGGGAAGAATCACGTGCCTTCGTGTTGTCCAGCCTTACATGATGGTTGTGAGTGGATCGGATGACTGTACTGTTATTTTATGGGACCTCAGCTCTTTGGTTTTTGTTAGGCAACTTCCTGAGTTCCCATCACCCGTTTCGGCAATCTATGTTAACGAATTAACTGGGGAAATAGTGACTGCTGCTGGCGTTATGCTTGCTGTTTGGAGCATCAATGGTGACTGCCTTGCGGTGATTAACACGTCCCAACTTCCATCTGATTTCATTCTCTCGGTGACTAGTTGCACTTTTTCTGATTGGCTGGACACAAATTGGTATGTAACGGGTCACCAGAGTGGAGCTGTTAAGGTCTGGCAAATGGTTCACTGCTCTGATGAGAGGATTGCCCAAAGCAAGGGAACAAACCATTTGATAGGAGTTTTAGGGCTGGGCGACAAAATACCTGAGTACAGGTTGGTCCTTCACAAGGTTTTGAAGTTTCACAAGCATCCAGTTACTGCCCTTCACCTTACAAGTGATCTGAAGCAGTTGTTGAGTGGGGATTCTGGTGGGCATTTGCTCTCGTGGACGCTACCAGACGAGAGAGCTTGAGAGGTTCGCTTAGTCAGGGGCGATAATTGAGGGAATTTGTATACGAGGTTTTTATATTCTTGTCGTTGTCTAGTTGGGCCGGCTTTTGATTTTTTTTATACCGAAAGCCTACGTGTCTACCATAGTTGGGGAAAGCAAGACAACGGAGCTAGCTTCGAATTGAGACAGGTAAAGAAAACGAATGACAAGAATTTTCTGGTATCTGTAAAAAGATGTGAAGTGGGAGATTTTCCTGGATACACTTGCCTTGTGGATGAAGCATGTGACTTGCTGTAGATGAGAAGGCGGTGTGTGTTTTGCATTCTAAATGATGTGTTTTGCATTATAAATGATTTGACGGAGATGGGTTTTTGATTTTTGCAGCGGAGATGTCGGTTTACTGATTTTTCTTGTGTGTATATAATATAGGGTAGATGATAGTGTGTGATGTTGTATAGCTGCAGAGAAGTGTTCTGAGTAGTGGAACGATTGGTGAAAACTGACCCGGTTAGATTGGAAGTCGAATAGAATTACTGGTTTTGTGTGTGCCTTCTGGATTAGATTTATTTTGTGCCGAGTGCAATGAGGCTACTGCTGCTTATTTTTTGTTGTGGAACATTCATTACTCTCTCTCTCTCTCTCTCTCTCTCTCTCGTGTCATGTATACATAAAATAGAAAATTTTCTGGGCTTGAAATGTTCCTGGTGTACTGTTCTAGCAACACAATCAGCTGAGAAATGACTGTTAATTTAAAGGTTTCAAAATGGTTAATTGCTTTTTTTGTTTATCTGACTGCAGTGTCAACTTATTATTATATTTTTAAAGATAATGCAGTGTCAACTTGAATGCACCGCAAAATTTGAATGAAGCGTTAACTTCAATGGAAGTTATTCAATCCTCTCAAAGTAACGATCACATTAAGCGAAAAGGCGAGTATTGCATAGAAGATAATTGGGAAGATTCAAGCATTTTTCGAGTTCCCTCAAGCCAGTGCTCCTCATTGGTCATTTGATTTGCAAGGTATGGTATATTCCTTTTCTAACCCTTGTACAGGTGCTCGTAGATGTTGCTGAGTGAAGCTTTCTTTACTACTCATGGTGATAGTATGTTGGTCGTGCAATTTTTAAATCCCTTCTTGTGATGATGTTTTCACTGTGCTGTTCCTTGCCTCTTTCATTAATATATTGATGCATTTTATGCTTTCCCCCAAAAAAAAAAAAAAAAAGTTTGGGTGTGATAATTATATCATCCATGCATTGACATTTTATCTATTCTCTCAATGAACAGTTTCTAAAAAAAATCAAAACATAATGGGTTTAAATCTATCCAAAAAAAATAAAAATTGAATAACTAATGAACAATGTCCCGACAAATTTTGAGGTAATGTAGTAATTATAGATAATAGTTAGTCATAAAATTAATTTATTGAGGTTGATGGAGCAGTGTTTTCATGGTTTATTAAGTTACATTTAGCCAAAAAATAATAATTTGTTAAGGTTGATGTGGATCCTTATAGTTCATTTTCCATATCTAATAAACATTTTTAAACAATAAAAATACATGACCCAACAGTATATTAAAAAAAAAAAAAAAGACCAGAAATATATATTAAAGTATAAGGTAAAATTACACTCCTTTTGAAATTAAAAAAAAAAAAAAATACAGTTAGTTTTATACTTTTAACATGATTGCATTGACTTCTCTTTTAATAAGGTTAAAATGATTAAAATTAATACAAATATAAATATATATTTTAAATTTTTTTTTCCCCATTTAATACGACTAACAAAATATTAATAAATAATTAAAAATAACCTAAGAACCTCAGGGAGACCTTCTATCTAAAAACAAAAAACCTGGGAGGCCAATTATATTTTCTGTGAAGTTTCCAACATTTGAAGTGAGAAAACGCAAAATTCCGTTGCCGGGAATCGAACCCGGGTCTCCTGGGTGAAAGCCAGATATCCTAACCGCTGGACGACAACGGATTTTGTGCAAACGAAGTTTGGTTTATTTTAATTTATAAAATGTTGAAGTTCTAAGGATACTTTGTACAATTGGTCTGCTCAGTAGAGAGACGAGTTGCCATCCCGACGCACATATGAGACTTAAAGCGACTGAACTCATTACAGACCGCAATCACCTCCGAGATCAAATTACCATAATTCCAAAAAAAAAAAAAAACTATTCACCCATCACTTAGCTTGAATGGCTACCAATCTTACTTTGTATTTTTTAACATCTCCTTTACGTTGTGATTGGTTGGAGGATTTGGAAAGGGAAAGGGAAAAGGAAAAGTTAGGTGAAATGTGAATAAAATATACTTACATTTCACCTAGTTTCACACACCTTTTCCCTTTCCCTTTCCAAATCACAACATTAGCGTTTCTTTTTATCTTATACACCCATTTGACACCAATTATTTTGAGTCCTTCTGGTAAGGATGTAAGTTTCCAAGTGTTGTTTCTTTCTATGGCTTAGATTTTTTCATTCATGGCTTGTCTCCATATGTCTTCCCTTTGTGCTGCTTCAAAGGGAAGATTTAGTGGAGTTCCAATCCTGGATGGAGGAAGGCCTTCTTCCCTTGATCTGCTGCTTGCGAAGGAAGTTTTGATTATTTTGTACCTTTATTTCGGTTTGGAATTTACTCCCATCTTAAAAAAAAAATAAAAAAAAAAAATAGAGAGACGAGCATATGTCTCTCAATATCCCATCCACAACTTGTTTAAGAAGCAACGTCTATTTCAAAATTCAATTGAATTTCATTTTTAAAAATTGGCTAAAAACCTTGAAGGAAGACAAAATCTATGCATAAATGTTTTCTCAGGCCATTAGAGCTTCATAATTTATGAGATCGAGCATCAATGGGTAAAGAATGGTTCAAAAGAATCTTGTTTCCTACCCTTCCAAAACTTAGGCTAAATAATTACTTTTAATATAAGTTGTTTAGCGGAGGAAAAATGTGCTTTAGTGGATGTGTTAGTGAAGATGTTATGTAGTTTATTAACTGTGAAGAAAGAGACTTGTGATTGCTGTGCCATAGTTGATCTATAGGAGAGAAAATAGCGACAGATCAAAAACATTGCCCCCAAACATAGGTTATTCTTCATCAGAATTAGGTCTCCAGAATTTCACCATGAACCCACACCTATGACATCAATTTTATCCATGAAACGGGTCGTTTATGAAAGAGACATGACAGAGACATGACGTTATGCGTTCTTTTTCTTTTTCTTTTTTTTAAATAGAAAACTAAACAAAGAACAAATACAGATTCATCTGGACGCTTATTTTCCTAACCCAACCAAACGAAAGAAAGAAATTTTCAATTTATTCCGTTCAGTTACTTTTCCTACCTTTTACCATTTATTTTCCTTTCCGTCCACAAAGCCAAGATACAAAGATAGCATCAATGGTGACCATGAAAGTAATTTTCAGAAACATAGATTCGCCTGGATGCTTATTTTCCTAACCCAACCAAGCAAAAGAAAGAAAATTTCAATTTCTTCCATTCAGTTTATTTTCCTACCTTATACCATTTATTTTCCTTTCCGTCCACAAATCCAAAATACAAACATAACATCAATAGTGACAATGAAAGAAATTTTCAGAAACATCTCACTGCAGAGCATACAACAGGGGACAAACCCATTCATTACAAAAATTTCATACAAATGAGTGAAAAGACAATCGAAAGACTTCAACACCCAATTTAACAGACTGACAAACACATGCAGAATATTACAACAGTTTGCTCAAACAAAACAACAAAA